ATACCCACAAGACAATAAACAAGATGCATTACCAAGAGCATCCGATATCAATAATCGAACCATCTTACCATGCCATCGGTTGAGTGGAGTACCAAATTAAATGCAACTACTGTTATGATGGAAGCGAAGCAAAATCGAACTGAGCCGAACTAGAACAGGTATAAATTTCGGTTTATCTTTTATTTATTATTGTTCATTTTTCATTGTTTATTGAATTTGCACGGAAGTTTGGGATTCGCATAAATTAGAACTAGAGCTTTTTAGGTTGTGTTCTAACAGGTGATTAATTTTATTGTGTTTTTTAAACTAGCTGATTTATTTATTTTGATTTTAATTTTACTTTTGGTTTTGGATTTTGAATTGAATTATTAGATACTGTAAACTCCCAATAACTATTTATTTTCGAAAACCAATTATTTGATAGTTATTTTAAGGGCACTAACTAAAATAGCAACAACAAAAAAGTAATAATTATTTACAAAAACAGCAACCATATTTTAATTTTGCAAATATAGAAAAATTTGGAACTTCAGCTCATGCATAACATAGAACAAATTCAATTTCCCTTGAATAACACTCAACACAACACATTTATAACGGTTGTACTTCACATAAAACAAATCATAAGTTATAACTAATATATATATATATATATATATATATATATATTTTTTTTTTGAAGGAAATAACTAATATATATTATATCTAGTACATCAACGTAAATCAATTGTAACGATAAATCTTATATGAATACTAATATACCAATTGTGTATACCTGATATATCATTTTTGTATCTAAAAATAAAAATTTCAAAGTAAAATCAGAATAACTAAAAATTAAAAATCTCATTTCAAATATTTTGCACAAAACTCAAATATTTACAAATATGATAGATATTTATTCCCTTATTTAATTATTGATATATATATGTGTTCTAATATACTATTAATATATATATTATTAATTCTATATATGTGTATTGATATACTTGATATTTGATATATTATTAATAAACATGGACTTTATATAGCATTGATGTAACTGATTTGAATTCTGATAATTTTATATGAATGTTGATATATCAATAATATACTTTTATGTTATGTGTTACTTCAATAGGAAAATTTCATTTGGAATAAGAAAGTTCAATTTTACTCCAAATTATAAATTTTAGATTACAATCCTAAAAAACTCTTTCCCAACTAGATGGAACTGTTCAATGAATGACCAGTCTGACCTTTTGTTAGATGTAACTGAAAAATACAGGCATTTGTGGATTCAATGCGAAAATTGTTATGAATTAAATTATAAGAAAGTTTTGAAATCAAAAATGAATATTTGTGAACAATGTATATACCATTTGAAAATGAGTAGTTCAGATAGAATCGAAAGTTCGATTGATCCAGGTACTTGGGACCCTATGGATGAAGACATGGTCTCTTTGGATCCCCCGGGAAAAGCATGAAAAAAAAAAGACTCGAATGGTACGATCCCTCCGTCACCCCAGAATGAAAGGGGCGATCTCGTAGTTCTTGGTCTAATATTGTTGGTACATTTAATTATGAGTTATCTAATAAAGGCTTAAGTAATCCTGGCACAACAAGGATTTTGCCTAAAAGAGTTATATCGGATCAATTATCTAAATTGTGATGAAAATTCAAATTCGAAGAAAAAATAAATGATTCCTAAAATTGCAATATTCGTAGAATATGATAAAATAACGAGCTACGCCCATTACAAATATCCTTATTTCAATGCATATTTCATATATATATATATATATATATATATATATATATATATATAATATTTTATCTACTAAATTTTATTTTAACCATAAATTGCAACAATTATTCAAGTATATCACTAGTTAATTTTCAAATATTTTCAGTTATATATTCTTCCATTATTTTATTCACGTTTTTATTTCCCCCCTTAAATTGCCCCTAATTTGCATATGTTCGCAGGATTTGATTTTAAATTTTGCCATTTTGATTTATTTTAAATTATTTTTCTGATCCACTTATTAAATAAATCACAAATTTTCACTTTTGTATTTAATATCTATTAAATTTATTAATATACTTATTTGATGTAGTCTATGGTTTTCCACTTTTTTTTTCCTTCTTTGTGTAATTGCATTTCCAATTCTCCATTTTTCTTTGAATTTCAGCTATATGTATGTTTTGTTTTCTTTTTCTTTTTTGGTTTTTTCCATTTCTGTTTTCTCGTTTTCTTTTCTCATGTTTGCCTTTAGATGTTGATATTATCTCTTCTTCTCTTTTCTTTGTCCTATTTTACCTTTTTTTTTTCCTTTTCGTGTAGGGTTTAGATCTTTTTCTTCTTCACATCCAATATTGTTACTCTTTTTCTGTTTGAAATAAGAAAAAAATAATACTTAATTGTTTAAAAACTTTCTTATTGAATTATAATGAGAAAAATACCAAAAATTTTACTAAAAGAAAACTAATTATTTTAATTAGAACAGTACAAATTATACGGGAATTTTTAAATAAAATAATTATTTTATATTTAATTAATGTTTTATTTTTAAAATAGTTTAGAATAATATATGAGATGGTGATTTGTTTTCTATAAGAAATCGTTGTGGTCGGGGGCACATGCGTCTTTTCATCGAGGAAAACTTGCCCATTTATATTCTGTCTTAGTGTAAGATGAGTTGCCCTTGTCTAGTCTTGTCATTTCCAAAAATAAAAAAAATAAAAAAGGTATTTTAACGTATGATTAAATAAAACATTGTAGCATGATTTTTATTTTTTAACAACATAAAATTTTTTTGTTGCAGGGCTGTCATGAATATAATATATTAACATTCATATCATATTTATTTATAGGAAATAAATAATGTATTAACCATTAATTAATCTATACCAGAGGCTATAGAGGAGAACCTTTACCTCTCCTTTTTATCCTCAATTTTTTAATATATATCCAATGTACCCTTCAAATTTCTATGAGAGGCCGCGACTATTCCGACGAAGTGTCTGTTGACATAATTTAATCTAAAAGAGTTGTGACTGTTCGACAAATAGTGCATTCATTCGCATATAAGTGTAATTGCAAATTATTATAAAAGGAAAGAAAATCATGTATTTTTATTTTTTTAAGACGAAGTTCTTCGAGAAAATGTATTTGAACTATGTGTATATATATGAAAAAATTATCTTATGTTTACTGACATATAGTTATTAATTTTCCCAATGAGAAAACAAAAATGAAATTCAAATGAAATAAAAAGAAAAAAATATACATATAATTGTCTATTGAAACCCAAGGAGAAAAATTAAAGATCACCCAATGCAAAGAAAATTTTATTGGTAAAAAATGAATTTTTAAAATAAAGATTTGAAGACTATAAATATACCTAGTAAAATATGATTTTCAACCTTTTTTTTATATATTGTATGTAATAATTTTTATATTTATAACTTAAAATATATATATCATATTTAATATTTTAAATAGATTTTGCACTTCAAATATGAGATGCGAGTGTTCGAGTTGAAGCGTCTGTTGAGAGAAATGGTGGGTCCATTCACATATGAGTGTGATTGAGAGTGAAACATCACGATCATGTGACTGTATCCATCATTTGACAAAAAGTTCATGAATATTTGAATATTTTAGTTCACATTTTGCTTTCCTATTTTTAAATTTTTATAAATTCCTATTTTGTCCTTCAATTTCAAAATATATTTCCTTCGATTATCCATCAAATAACAATTTAGTTCACACTTAAGTAGTAATCATCTATCAAACATTTACCATTTATCTCTTTTATTATTTTTTAAATTCAAAAAGTATATTCATTCAAATTTGAAATTTCAATATAAAAAATTATATTCTAAAAATTTTAAACCACGTACTAGGCACGTGTATCAACTAGTAAATAATAAATAGCTTACAATAATCCTTGCATCATCTCCGAGATTATATCAGTCCTAGGGTGTTCAAAAAACCCGACAAACCAAAGGGTTGGGTTGGGTTAAATTGGTCCCCGGTTCGGATTGGATTGTGAAATTCCCAACCCGGTCGGGTTGGGTCGGGTCTCGGGTTGGACCTTAAAAAACTCGGGTCAACCCAACCCAACCTAACAATAGCTTTATACACACACACACACACACACACATATATATATATATATTAGGGGTGTTCAAAAAACTCGACGAACCCAAGAGTTGGGTTGGGTTCTATTGATCCCCGATTAAGGTTGGGTTGTAAAATTCTCAACCCGATCGGGTTGGGTCGGGTCTCGGGTTGGACCTTAAAAAACTCGGGTCAACCCGACCCAACCCAACAATAGCTTTATATACATACATACATACATACCCAACAATAGCTTTATACACATACATACATACATATTTTAATTATAAATATATAATGATTTTTTTCCTTCAATCTTAGCCCTACATTGATTTTAATCTCAGCCCTTGATGGTAGGTTTAGGGTTTTCTCCTCTTTTCCTTCATCTCACTCTCTCTCCACCTTTCTCTCAGGTCTCCTTCCTCCATTTTCTTCCCTCACTCAACCTCTCCATCGTCGCCGCCTTTCACCATTCTCGTTTTCCTCGGACTTCGCCACTCCCGCTCCTGTCGCCTCCAGCCTTCGCCGCTCCAGATCCCGTCGTCTCCGACCTTCTCCGCTCCAGATCCCGTCGCCAATGGCTTTCACCGCTCCCTCTCCCGTCGCTGCCAGCCTTCAGCATAGTTCCTGTGGCAATCTGTCGTTGCCTCTACAGCCCACCGTCGTCATCGCAGCAAAGAGAACAACCAGACAACCCAACCCGACCCAACCCGAAATATTTGGAGTGGGTTGGCCATCAATTTTAGATCCGTCGGTTCCCACGTATATTTGGGTTGGTCCCAAAAATACCCTTAATTCGACCCAACCCAACGCGTGAATATCCTTAAATCAGTCCCATCTAATAAGGCAAAAATCGAAAATTTATATCAATTTTTTGGAAGAAGCGTGTGGTTCAATTCTTGTTCGAAATTTTGGTTAACTCACCTGTCGAAGCCAATTTTAACCTTCATTAAAGAAAATAATATAATAAAAATATTATAACATAAGGAACCAAATAAAAAAAATGGGCTCAAACTAACTAAAACACATTATTGAGCCCTATATTTTATTTCTAGGAAAAATCATCCTCCCACCATTAAATAATTTTAACACTTAGTTTTTTTATTTTTTTTAATGATGTCTCCGTGTTTGGCCTTTTATCTCCTGTCGAACGGGTAGGGCAAACATATTATTAAAATTGACTTACTCATAAAATACATTATTGATAAACTTTACTCTAGCGGACACCGTTACTAGAAAATAGAGAAAAAAAAAGGTTTTGGTTAGCTCACTTATCGAAGCTAATTTTTAGAAAAACGCTCCAACATTGTCCAACTAAAACACATTATTGAACCCTATATGTTAGTTTTAGAGAAATTACTTGGTTCCTCACAAGTATGTCATGTTCACCTTGATAACTCGTCATCTTTTAAAAAAAAAGTCTTTGTTTATGCATTTATCTTTTATATAGTTGTTAAACATTGAGGGTTGAGGATGACGAGATTTGATCGAAGAGTATTTTCCCATTTTTAACTAGTGGATAGATCAAACACATTATTAAAATTTACATACTCATGATAAAATTAAAACCAATAAAATTAGATGAGATTGATGCATACATAACATAAACAACCAAAAACTAATAGCCCAACGAGAGTAGTCGTGGTGCAATATCTTGAGAAGTGATGCTTGAATACCTTTTTGTGTAGTTTGTTGTGGTGAAGGAAGGCCAACGACTAGACGTTGGCATGTGACATTGTTCAAGTTTGAGATTGTGGCATGGTGAAGCTTCAACTCCAAGTCCCTAAGGGCCTCCATGACCCTAGCTTCTGCATACCTCACGCCCTGGGTCTCAACTCTAACAACTGCCTTATCTCCTCCCACGATCTCCACTTCTACCACCACTTCTACTTCCACTCCTTTGGACGTCACTTCTTCCTCGTTCGGAAGTTGAGACTCCAATTGCTGGATCTTCGTTCGGAGGTCGTTGATGTATGAGACAGCGTGGAAAAGAACTGCAGCTGCATTGTCCGCTTCGGAGACGTTTGGGAGTAGGGCACGGAGGGAGCTGAATGGGCGGCCGCGACGGCGGAGCGCATCATAGCCTCCTTTTTTCCACCCGGCTGGTTTCTCCATTGTTGAGAGGTTTGGAAGTTTTTTGGTTCATTTTAAACGTGAGTGATGGGAGGTAGGAGAAATTTACACATGTAGCTACCCCATTTTAAACGTGTTTTCCATTATGTTATTAGAGAAGATTTTTATTTTTTTATTTTTGTTTATTTTTGAGAAGTGTCATTGTAAAATGTGTGTGGGTGGGATTTTAAATCCTATTTTGTAAAAGTAAGATTATTACTCAACATTTTTAAACCGTGCGACCACCACAATATTTGAAACTTAAAATATTTTTTTAATTTTAAAATAATTTTTTAATTTATGTATATATATATATATATATATATTTATCTTCTCTTTCATCTCATTATTGCCATTTCAAATTTTTTTTCAATTTACAAATTACCTAGGTAGCTTTTTTTTATATAAAATTATTGTATCAATATCTTTTTTTTCGTTTTATATTAAATTATCAAGCTCTCGATATTTAATTATTATTCTTTTATATAATTTTTAATTTAAATTTTGCGGAATCTAAATAAGTCGACAATTTAGAAATTTATTACTTAAGACACAATCTATTAAAGCCCCTAAGAAAAAGTTATGGATCTGCCATGGTTTGTCGCCAAATTAACCTTTCGCGATGAAATTAGATTTTTGTCGCAACAGCCTCTTTTTGCGACAAAATAATTTTGTTGCAAAAGGTTGGATTTTGTTTTAAAATAATTGTATGCACTAACATCAATTTTTTTTTGTTACGATGTTGTTATTATTACATGAATATTTTTTCAAATTTGAATTAAACTAAACACGTATTCAAAATTATCATATAAATTTGGATACATTAAATAAAAAATGATTTTACAATCGGTCAAAAAGTTCCAATCCCTACCCCCCATAGTACTTAAAAAAAATCGGTCTAGTACAAAAAGTCAAATACAATATAAGTTAAATTTCGATTACAACGTAAATCTAAACTCTATCCTAAATCTCATTGGGTCTTATGAAAAAACATCTAATTTCCAAAGGAGAAAATAATAAGTAAAAAACCTGAAAAACATATGAAAAATAATCTGATTAGGTTAAAAATAATTAACTTCAAGAATGCAAACTACCGGTAAAGTAAGTCAAAATGTCACTTAGTAGTGTGTAAGTCTTGCCAAAGAAGCCTAAATGATCTCAAAACATACATCTTTATCTAGCCCAATTATAAGCTATACAATAATAATATTTAAGTGAGAACAAATGTTATCTAATGATATAAATAAGAGCGGATTTATAAAGCAGCGAGGGGCATGTGCCCACCTGAACTTATTACAAAATGTATATATTTTGCTTCTTCTATTAAGAATTACTCTCTCGAACTTCGAGAGAGACCCAGTCAACAATGTATTTCTTTTATAATATACTAGTGTATTACTATAAGCAATAGCACGTTTCTTTTTAATTATAAGGTAAGTTAAATTTTAAATAATTTTAGGTAAAATATTTTAAGTATAATTATTTTTAAAAATAATTAAAATTAATTTTTAGATATATTTATTATTGTTGACAATTAATTATTAATAATCCATGTACTATTTATAATTATTTCTAATTAACTGTGAATGACATATTTTATAAATAAATTAATTAATTGAAAAGTAAAGGAAAACATTATTTAAGTTTTCACGAATTTTAAGTACACATTTCATTATTTTTAATATATTAATTAAAAATAAATAAATAGGTAGTTTAATATTTTTATTTTTAAAATGTTATTTTACCTAATATGGTCCTTTATTTTTTAAAAACTATTTTGTTTGTTTATTATGGATTCTAAATGCACCCTCAGGTCAAATTATTATTTTTTGATTTAATAGCTAGTTTAATATTTTTATTTTTAAAATATTAAAATATTTTACCTAATATGGGCCTTAGATGAAATTATTTTATTGATTTAATTTCATATTATAATTAAAATTATTAAAGAAAAATTCTTTAAATTATATTATTGGGACATGAAATGACCAAAAGTTTTGTATTCCACTTTTAAGATTCGATACAAATTATTGTTGATAATTAAACTATTTACATACTTGTTTTTTTTTCAACAAAAAGAACCTTAGCTCATAATTGATCTATATTTTAAACAAATATTCTAAGTAAAAGGCTTAAAAAACATACCAAATAAAAGTATATACTCATTATATAAGAACAATTAAAAAAAATAGTAATAAAAAAAATTCAAATTCTACCAATACACTCATCTTTTAGAATACATATATTCACTCTAGATAATTGTTTTACAAATACTATTATGGAACAGTGACATCGCAAGCCTAGTATTCGAGATATATAGATTCGACACGTGCATCACTTGTAACTTGATGAATATGCCACCAACGTCTCGAGATGTTTTCAAAATTAAATAATATTTGGGAGATGTTTGAAGGAATAAAAAACGAAGAAGTAGTGAAACTTGTTATGAAAAATACAGCCTATACTTACAGTAGTAGAGGATAAAATGTTACAAAAACTTTTAAAATTCTAAAACTCTTGAATTCTAATATGATTTATAATTAAAGAAAAATATTAATTTTTACGTTGCAGGAAAACTTTTTGCATTCTAACCGTGTAAACTCGATGCATTTATTAGTATTGATAGTTAATAGTTAATAATTAATTTAATACTTATAATAATATATTAATGACGTAGTCGGTAAATGAGTAAATTTAGTAGGAAAATTTTCTACCTCCAACCTCTCCAACCTTTTTAATATAGTATAAATTTTTCTAAAATTTGTCGTACTTGTGGGACCCACATTTTTAACCCGAGAGACCCACACCCAGCCAACATGCATTTCTTTTATAAAATATTTTTTAAAATTTGTCATACTTGCCGCCCATTATTATTGCACTGCTGGGACCCATAATTTAAGTGTAAATTCTTCTTTCTTTTTTATGGAATAATCTTTTGTTTTAATATAATGTCTCCACCAAGGTTTTAAATGTCGATCTTGATAGAAACGTCGAGATCTCAATTTCATAAAAATATCGATGCTTATATCGATAAAATGTCAATGTCGATGAATATTTCTGTAAAAGTTAGAAAATTAAAAAAATCGTAAAAAATATGTAAATAAACAAATAAACATTTTTCCATTTCTAAATTAGTTTAAAATAATTAATATTAATATAATATATATTAGTGATATTTTGTTGATATTTTTCATATTGTGTCGATTTTATTGTACTATGATGGAAATGTCGATTCACCCCTCATGTTGATGTCGAATCCATGGAAGCATGGATATATCCATAAAAATGTTGATATATTAAACTCTCTATGTTTCATGATCAACTTCAAAATTATATTATTAGCGTTGGCTCAAATATTAGTTTATCAAGTTTGTTTAACTGAAATGCATAAGTGATCTTGAAATTAAAATGGTCATGATAAACCGAGATAACATATATTCATAGTTTATTGATTGCTCATATTAACATTAATTTTATTTGTTGTAATAGCTACTGTAGAGAAAACATTTTCTGTCCTGAATATTTATTGTGAAAACTCGATTGCGTAATTAATTGAGAGATCAATGAATGAACGATAGGTTTATAGCATATATTAATAAATATTTATTTAATAAGTTGGATAATAACATTATCATATATATCAATTTTAGATAACGAAAGCTTGGTAGGTAATAGTTGTAATATTATTCAATTAGTTCATTTATGAATCTATGAATATTTTGATGTTATACTTTTTTTTATTGTTAGTGCCCTTCAATAAAATTCCTGGATGGACAAATATATACCCACCAAAACTACTTTAAAAGTCTAACGAAGGGCATGGATATATGATAATAAAGTGAAAAGTTGAGAAGAAAATAAATAATTGAAGATAACAGAGGTAGATAAAGCTGGTTTGAGATAATTAATCGAGACCATTGAATATCACAATTTTGAAGTAAAAAAAATCACAATTTTAATATATTCGACACTTCTAAAAATTTACGTATGGTTGAATTTTTTTCTTTTTTCGTGAATATAACATATAGAATGAAAGATTGAACTCACAATTTTGGAGATGCATGTGAATTACCAACCAATATAATTAGTTTTAAAATAATATATTAATTTTAAGAAATGAATCAATATGTTTTATGTTCAAATTATTTAATAAAAATGGATTCAAAATATCGGGTGAAATGTGTAATAGTAACAAGCTTGGTTATAAATTATTAAAATCCATACAAATGACAAATTAATTAACTAAAAAATGCATATAAATTATAAAGAGAGTGGATTGATTGAAAAATGACAGGTTAATATGGTATACAATTTTAACTATTTTGCTCAGAAAAAAAAAAAACTTTAATTAGTACGAAAGAATTTAATTATTGTCAAAGAGGCATGTGCAATCCACAAAGGTCACGTGTTCTCGTGAATAACGTGGAAGATGAACTTTATCATCTATTGGCCAATCCATAAAAAAAGTTATAAGATCAAGACAATGTTACCATGTTCATCCACCGGTAAATTATAATTTTCTAGTACTACCGTGCTACATACTCACATTTCTCTATATCTATTGGTTTAATTTTCCTTTATAAACTATTCTTTAATATTATTAGACTTTACATAATTGGTCCTGGTCCTTAATAGTGACGTGGCAGACAATAAATAAGTAGTACATAATATACTTATAATATTGATTTTTTTTTAGATCACGAGACGTGATATTCACTAAGAACTCTTGATTTTTGCATCATAACTAAGGTTTAAAATATTCTATTATTTCAGGTAGGATTTCTCATGTATTATAGTATTCTTTTGAGTCTTTTGGGTGAAGTACTACATTGACATGTTAGTAATTGTCATTTTAAAAGATAATTGTTTGTGACATCGTGAGCAAACGAAATACAATTGTGTTAAAAGAACTACTAGGATCAATCGATCGGTCGAGGTCGGTTTTTGGCCAAAATCGATGCTGAACAGACTATGTCGGTTTCTAAATAATGGAAACTGACAAA